ATACATCCATCTATCCATCCCATCCATCGCATTTAATTTCATCCTTTCATCCTTAATTTCAGCGAAAATTTACCCGACACAGTCTGAGGTGGATATAGTAACCCATATATTGACTTATCAAATATCGACATGTCAAAACAAAATCCAGCTTAACCTTTAAAATTATGATTTTAGCTTATATTGGATTCAATATCCAGCCACAAATGTCATTCATTTTCGCTTTTACATACAGGTATTTTGTTTGAAACCCGAATCGAAACTTTCATTAAAAAAGTGTCACTTCAAAGTGCTKTTTCATTTTAGCTGTCTATACATATCATTAAGAACCGTCTTCAAGTTAGCCAAAATTACCAAGCCTCTCTGAATACAATTATAAGTTGTTATTAGTGTGGGTAGGTAAGTCGGGAGGTTTCGGTCTGTTAAACGCGGCTTCGCAAGAGTAATATTACCACCTACTGATGCGTTTAATCCAGTAAACTTCAACTTCTAATATGCTCTTAGTTTGTGCACCGGTAAAATAAAGAAAATATGAGCTTCCTCTATGTACTGTTGGTGATGCTAGCAATCAAGGTAAGCTTATAAATTCAAGAGCAAAAAYATAGGTGTAGTTGTCAGATTTGTAGTATGTTTCGTGGCATGGCAACGCAGTTGAAATCATCTATCGTAGGATGTAAGGAAAACTTTCCTACTAAGAAAGAGCGATTGCAACGAAAATTTAATTCGGAGATTCAATTATTCGATCTTGAAGATGTTTTTATTTATTTTTTAGGTTGGATCAGAGCAGATTCACGAAGATTTACAATCAGTTGTCGCCACCAACCGAGAAGAACTCGTACAATATTTTGATGTAGATTCTATCAAATCAGGTAAAAATCGATTTTGTTTTCGCATACTTATGACAGTATGACATACAATCTAAAAGCTTTTGATCCTAAGGTTTTCGTTTTAGAAATTATCGTCGAATTAGCATTTATGTTTTACTAGAATAATTTTGCATAGAAAAAAGACAAAGTGTAAAGATTATTAAGATTAATTTCATCGGAAGTCACGTTCAAACTGGTCCAGTGATCAATTGGTTTCCTGCTACTACGGAGTAACTTAAAACTAAGTAGTATAAGAAAAAGGTTATCTCAGCCATATGTATGTGGTTTGCTCTATTATTGCGCGCCCGCTTATTCCAAGCATGATGTCGCAAAACAAAGCTTTTTGCTGCTATTGATTTTTAATATCCTCTTTTCTCATGCATCGTGGATGATAATTCTCAAATGATTATTAGAAAAGCAATCGAGAGAGTTATCGTATTATCTGAAGTGACTGTTAATATAAATATAATGGTGAATCATATACATACATATATCATATAGATAATATATATTAAATAACGAARGTATACGACGTCGAACAAACTACTTGTGTTTCAGCCAAACTGAAAAGGCCTTCTTCAGTAATGTACAAAAYTCGGAATAAATTTAATTCAAAACAAAACAAAATAAAATTGTAAATACAAGATACAAAAATACATATATTTTATATGCAATAAAACGGTTTTCTTGAAGGTCAATCAATCTCTTCTTATGGCTCGAGGTTAACCGTTATCCATGACCGTAGCGTGACATTGACCGGACACTAAACGTAGTATCATATATCATATGTATATAGTATATGTGTTTATAGTCTGGCAGGTCTTTTTGTACACACAATTTGGAAATCGTTTTGGAGAACGACATTATTATGTAAAGCCCAGTAAGCTTATAAAAGAAGGTATATGCAAAATAGCTCTGGCTATCACCAAAGCAACACTAGTACTCAGATGTTATGTGAAACATAGGCAAAAAAAAAAATGTTTTGTTTTTATTATACATATGGAAATATTTTGGATTGCAGCTGTGGAGAAATATGTGGAGCATAACGAGTTCCRTTGTACAAGCTTCAGTGATATTAAAGGTCAAAATTAGCTTAAAGTATTGTTTACGTTTTCGCTTTAACGAACAGACTACATAAATCGAAACAATACCGATTTTTATAGCTACTGAAAATGTATGAAAGTTTTCTTTTAACTGTATTCAAAAGTTTTTGATGTTTTCGGATAGTAAATCTGCAGAGAGATTTGCCGGTTGTTTTTTTTTTTTCTGTAAGCAACTCAAACGGCGCCATAGAAGTTTTGCACCATCACGTGACGGCAGCCATGTTAGATGGCAGGGACAATACAATCGTTTTACATGAGAAAGAATTGAATTCCCGAGAGAAAAGGGATTTTATTGCTCTGCCATCTAACCACAGGTAGCCCAAGCTGTATTATGGGCGTGGGCACGTGATGGTGCAAAACTCTATTAGWAGGCTAACATCTTTATTCTGTTTAATGGGAAGCCTAATCGTTCTTACAAATACCACTAATAATAAAACTTTTTCTCTCTCGGCGGAAGAAGTTGGCTTCTGGTCAGCGGCCTCCGCCGTTCTTTGGTGATTACGTCACTCATAAACCCTTGCAGTCCTTTTGCAGATCTTCTGATGTAGTTGAATTATTCGTCTTTCAGATAAGACAAATGTCTTTTTATATGTCAACACGATGGAAAACCATACATGCAAGGTTGTTTTTCTCCAATAAAATTCTGAGTTGATAATTGAGCGCATGCGTAGTAACGTATTTTAAAGTGATTGAATAATATCAGGTAATCGTATGAATATATACTTGAGAGTACTGTCGCGTCAAGGTTAATGACTCCTATTAAAAACATCGCATGGGCATTAAGTGTTTTTACATGTGCKATAATAACCGTCCTTCAAAACTCACTCTTCCATTTATGTTGTGCTTCAGTACCAGAATACGACATAACGTTTATTCAACCGCAACGAGAACGAAGAAGTATCGACCAAAACCGAAAGCATTACAAATTAAAAGCGTTTAATAAGACCTTTCAGTTGGAATTAGAGCCTAATGATGAGGTGGTCTCGCCGACTCTGGTTGTGATGAAGAAAAGGTCTGGTAACAAATGGACCAAAAATCTATATAAACCGAATGGAAGATTTCTTCAAGGTCACGTCGTTTCTGACCCGAACTCGCACGTTGCTGTTCGCGAGTTGCAAGACGCGGAAATGGTAAGGGTTTCTTTTTACACTTTGAAATATACTTATAAAATACTTGTTTTAAATTTTGCGTTCGGATTAGTTGGGTGCGCGTGCTTTATGAGAGCACACAGCWCGCGCGCACACTTTTTATTATGGTATTCTTAGTCGAAAATTCAGTAAAAAACTTGCTTGCTGTGTGGTGTGTAATTGTCTCTAAAAAAATTTTAAAAACTGTTTTGCTGTGTGGTGTGTAATCATAAAACACGACTGCATTCTTTCTATTTTGTCATTCGTATCCAAACAGTTGGATCTTACACTTATGACGACCGACTGACTCCGATTTCGACTCTATCCAAGTGAAAACCAGGCGTAACCAAGCGGTTTAATGCAGCAGGACTAAGATATGGAAGTTATAGTATGCAGTTTTCGAGTACGCGCACATCTTTTTCTCCCCCCCTTCTATCTCTCTATTTCTTTCTCTCTCTCTCTCTCTCTCTCTCTCTCTCTCTCTCTCTTATATTGACATATGCCCCTTGTTATTGAATATCTCATCAGACTGGCACTTTTGTCATCGAAGATCATTTGTACAAAATCCATCCAATCAACGAACGCTTAAAAGGCATGTTATCCTTAAAAGGGCATGGTCATCACGTGATAACGAGACGGAGCATCAAGGATCCGAAGTCCGAGATCTTTCATCGGGCAAAGTATCCCGAACCTATTCGAGGTAAATAAGCTGCTCCAATAGTCCCTTTCACAGTTCCCTGCGCCATCTTGAAAGGTAGCCGTTCCTTTGCATCGAAGYGAGACGAACGGTGAGCTTACAATGATAGAGAMCTTTTTTTAACACCTTGGACAATTATTCACATGTCTCTRTCATTGCAAGTTCAAGATTGCGCAGGAAACTGTGAAGGGCACTATTAAGAATACGTTCTCTTAGTAAAAGATAGTTGAAGCTTTATTATCATTCCCGCTCAGATGACGGACAGCACCTAATTATTAGCCATTCCGATGTTGTGAAAAAAAAGGGTCAAGTTGGCATTGCATTGTGGGTCTATTTTAGTGGACAAAATAGACGCCATCTTGGAAATATGCCCCCTAAAACAGTCCCACGGTGCATTGCTAAACGTACTCAAACCAGTTTTTTTTCAACGTTGCACTTGGATTAGGTTCAGCATCACAGCATCTCACCATCATGAATTTGATRAAACAACTAAGGCTTAAGGCTTAAGATAAAAATTATTATCGCGGGTAATCAATTTGCTACACATCCATTGCCACTACATCGCGTGCATAAATATTATCTTAAAATTGGTCTTCTTTGGTTTTGAAGTCATGTTTGGGTGCGCAAGCAGGCTCGAGAAAAGATGTCTCTTCAGAATCAAATAAATGCCAGTAATATCAGCAGTATTGATTAGTTAACCAAAGGATTCCCATCTAAATTTTCAAATTTTAGATAAAGAAAATGAAAGACATGAGAAAGAACCACAAGTCAAGCAAAGAGTACGCAGAGATGRTGCTGATCCAAAGTATTACATTGAAGTCATGATGACAATGGATAAAGTGTCTTGTGACTACTATGGGAATGTGACTATAGACTTTATCCTTGCCGTGGCTAACATGGTACTGAAACTATAGCACTATAATTGTTATTATTATCATCAACATCATCATCGTCAACATCATCTTCATCATCATCAACAACAACACCAGCATTATCATCACCACCAACATCATCATCATCGTCTCCATCATCGTCATCATTACAACCATCCCCATCATCATCACCACCATCATCATCATTGTCGCCATCATCATCAGCATCATCAGCATCATCATCATTATCGCCATTATCATTATCATCCCCACAATCATCATCACCACCATCATCATCATCACCACCATCACCATCATCACCACCACCATTATGTATTCTTTGCCTTTTTTGCTATTATTTGTTAGAGTGATTTCCATAAACCGGTGCAATAAATGTTAGCGTGATAATCATTAATACAAACAAGTTATTTACTCATTAGACTTCAAACGATAAAGTAATAAAACACAGTCAATAAACTCTCACTGGATACTTTAATTCTTACACTAATAACCGCTATTACACAGGTTTAATCACTCTATTCGTTATTCCATATAAATTATTCATTATGCGTTGGCTAACACATTACTGAAACTACTATTGCAGTTGCGGATCCAAGGTGAGGCATATCATGGTCTTGACACTCAGCAGATTGAAATTAATTAAACTTAAGGAAATAGCGTTGCTGGAACCCCCCATTTTTCAATTCTGGATCAGGCACTTCTTTTTCTTTTGATATTGATCTTTATTTTTTCTAGGTGAATCGGTTATATCAAGATAAGTCTATCGGGATTAACGTGGCGTGGACGCTTACTAAAATAATATTGATACAAGCATATGAG